CCTACACGACGCTCTTCCGATCTCCCCAAAACCCCAAAACCCCAGGAGAACGTATAGGTTCAAGGAATCAGGAATTTAGTTAAAATGCAAGCTAAGTTACAAGTCAAATTTGTTTAAATAAATAGTTAAAATGAGTCAACTTAGACTTTAATACAATGAATGGCATGATTTCATCCTGCACAATAAGATACTCATGATATTAGGCCTAGATTATCTCATCATTTTAACTAATCTAATATTACTTCCTTGAAATTGTATTAAAACTCCATCCCTGTTCAGAATTTATTTCTGGTTTATGATGAAAAATCAATAAGATGTTCAATGCTTGTCAACTCCTCTGATTTATTTCCTAGTTCTGTTAACTTCAATAGGGCGTTGCCAAAGTTTGCAATATAAGCTTTATTGTCCTCAGCATACTTTGTGGCATGTCCCTTGAGCTCTGGGTCATTTAAGAGAGTGTGAGAGATTTAAAGGTGACTGACTCTTCCAGCTAAGACTTATTTATAGAAGAAGTTATCTATTTTCAAGTGAGAGGAGAGCTCAGTGTGAGCTGGGTCTTAGACTAATCCAAGTGCTTCAACTGAAGCTAATGCTGCAATTTCCTCATCATTGAATCCTCTAGCAGCCAAGCTCTATTTGTAGTTTTAAGCATTTGGAATATTGTTTGGGTCTCCAACTTGGTTGACATTGTTGATATCAACTCTTCCATAACTCAGCTGCCTTTGAATATTTGGTCCATCAGCTTCCTTAATCATTAAGACAGCAGCACTGGTTACCCAGTCACTAACTGACATTGGATCAAGTTCTGGATCGCAGACTGCATTCTTGAGGTATTCGAGTTCACTTGCAAGTAATTGCAACCTTCTGTTATGATGGTTGCGAGCTACACTTGGGTATCTGAAGTTGGCTCTTAAACCTCCTCTCTTTGTGACTGGGTCGAAGGTAAGAGCATCGTTGTAGATCAATCTAACATAGTCCTGAATGGGGAATCTTTTGAAGGTGTTATGATACCAAGGGCGAATTTGGACTGCGAGGTGTTGAATGACAAGATCAACTGGGCGAGACACCATCTTACTAAATAAGATTTAATTAAAATATAATAGTTCACTTCACTTCAAATTTTTAATTGATATCG